AGCACTTCATCATGAACTGTGCTACCTACCGGGCCGGCCTGGCCGGGGAAGGGCTACCTAAGTGGAGGTCCCTGTAACCTATGCTGTGCAGAAAGAAAAAACAAACTGAACAACTTTTGGATACGGGTGGGATCGAAATCCTTTGCCAAATTGAAAAAGGAAAAAGTCCGAAAAACGAAATTGATCTTTTTTTCTAGTTCGTTTTTGGCCCGGCTGGGCAAGTGGTCCCCGGGCCCAGGCCGCTCTGGTACACGTAGATCCTGAATCATTTGTCTGGAGTGGCCATCTTATCTGATTGGCATGACACTTTGTCGGCACAACAGCCACATGTCGAACAGTTAAGTCCTTTCTCGCTGCTGCGGTAAGTGGTGGCCTCCCTGCAGACTCCAAGACAGGCTCTTAATACAGCAGACCGTACTGCCGCAACATGTCGTTATAGAATTTGCTGCCAGAATTTCCCCCCGCTAAATACAGTGCCTCCAGGGAGTGTGCTGCCCTTCGAACGTCCTCGATTGTGACCAAAGACCTGAGGCGTGGTGATCGTGAGAGCGAAGAAATTAGAGTAATCTGCCGAGCGCTGTACAGGTGGCTTGGAAGCAGCTTTGGGAGCGGTTGATCGTCAATTCCTAGCTTGTGAACCATCGCCGCAAGTGGCTCTGCCTTTGCAGAGTGATGAAAAACAGACTGCTGCTCATGGTAAGTCTGAACACCGCCCTGTGCCATTGGTAGATGGTCCATGTGCTCAGCATCATGGAAGCTATCATCGCTTCGGTTCCGGTCAGACCTCATGATTGCCTCCGTAATAGAGAGCATCCAGTCCTGCAAGAAGGTGGCACGCTGAGAAAGACAGACACACATGCACAAAAAACACAAACACATCTTTTTTATCACTTTTTTAAAGTTTTTTTTTCTTATATCCTTCTCCTTTATTTTTGATTACTCATCAAATGGCACTAAGTCTGTGCCTGTAAGTGAAACGGACCTTCGGCCTCCTTCTGTACCTCCTTCTCCTCCTCCATGAGGATGGTCTACAGGATTCATAGCAACACCACGAACAACGGGTCGTCTTCCTAACCATCTACTTTGCCCTGCTTTCCTAAAATTACGCTTACCATGATTCTCATTGGCATCAAGTCAGACTGAAATTGAGAGGTGGATGCAGAGAAAGGTAGAGAGGGGGAGCAAGCATGCTCACACGCCAAAACACAGGTTTGTGTGTGCATGTGGGTGTGCGGATGTGCGTGTTGGCGGGGCTGCATGGATGTGCCGGTGCAGGGGTGTGCCGGAGCCGGTGTGTGCTGGTGCAGGTCGGCAGGTGTGCACGGTTGCCCATCTGTGTGGGTGCGTGTGTGTGTGTGTGTTTGTGTGTGTGTCCTCTTGTTCCAGGTACTANAGCCGGTGTGTGCTGGTGCAGGTCGGCAGGTGTGCACGGTTGCCCATCTGTGTGGGTGCGTGTGTGTGTGTGTGTTTGTGTGTGTGTCCTCTTGTTCCAGGTACTATCTACAACACACACACACACACACACACACACACACACACACACACACACACACAATCATATTAGCTACAACCTTCTTACCTCTCGTTCCAAGTATTCTCTTTTTGTGTTTGTCCAGTTTGTGTCCCCTGTAGTCTTTTCCCGTTGTCCTGTGCCTGAGCGAGCATCTTTACGATGTGCCAAATAGTCAGTGGCTGTTTGTATGGGTGAATGTGACACTATTACATAGGCTGCTTTTGATGTGTTTGGGATGCCTGTGCGCCCTTCTTTCCTGGTGATGACAGTAATCCGCCGCAGTGGCTCCCTGCCTCCAATGGTGGTATGAAGTTATGAACCTATCTGCTGAGGTCCGTGTTGGATGTGTGGACTGCCTGGTTGACCTTCCCCCCTGCCAGGCCGCCCATCCACTTGCTATGTGTTGCTGCCATGCTGGTCCTGCCCTGCGGTCTTGCTGCCCTTCCGCTCGCCTCATGTTTTTGCTGCTTGCCTGCCGGATAGCCCTCCCTGTGCCATACTGCTTGCCCTGCATTTGCCGTACCGCTTGCCCTCCGCATGCCCTCTCTGCTTTGCTTCGCTGCTGGTGTTGTCACCTTGCTTCTTTGCTGTCCACTTGCAACACAGGTGGAACTAGAGAATAATTCAAACCCTCTAAAATATTAGGACTCTGCAGAATGTCCAGGGTTCAGCCTGTTAATGAGTCCGTGCGCCTCACTCCGATCAAGCGGTCTGTCCCTACACCTTTTGTACTCAACGATGACTTTCTGTGTCATCGAAGACTCATCTTCCTTCACCGATGATTTCCGTGGAAGTCTGTGGTTGAAAGAATTCCACATATTGCAAATAGCAGTTATAGTATTTTTCCTGATGTGATTTGAACTCTGTCTATGTAAGGGATGCTGGACCCGGTTTCCAGCAGGTGCTGCTCCCCACCAATAGATGGAGCCCTCCCCAGGTGCTAGCGGTGTCTGCTTTTACCAGCACCACTAGCGCTGACGGGTGCTTAAAAAAAAAAAAAAAAAAAAAAAAAGTATTACTTAGTATAAGTTAGTAATACTGCATCAAAAGGTCGGGAGGCAATCGT